AATTTGGTCTGGGCCCGAGGTGGGCTTAATAGCCGGCGACTACTGTATTACACAGCATTATCCCAAGATATTTCAGTCACGTCAGGGTTTTGACCCTTGAATAGGCTTCTTTCCGTTTGTCTGCAAAAACTACGACTACTTACATAGTATGAATTTCTTCCCATTAATTTTGTAGAAAAATACATAAAATGGTCTTTCTTGTACTCATTTGGTAGTCAATTAGGTCTTTTTTTAACATCCTATTTGAAGGAAGGGCATCTTTATGCTTAAAAAAACTTCGATTCCCTTAGAATTTTGAACGGGACCTACAGTAGCAGTTGCGGCAAGAGTTTCCTCACAACATGCTGTATAATTTGCAGGAAGGGAAAATCATATTTTATTCTTCTAAGATGATGTCGTATAAACATCATAAAATTTATAATGGATGTGGACCACGTTGTTGTATAATGAAGAAAAGACTTTTTGAACCCATTAGATACCCTTTCTTAAAGCATATAATTTGGTTGAGACAGTTTGCTACTAAATGAATACAAAAAAGATTTTTGTGCAAGTTTTCTGTGAAATACATCTAAATTTATAAAGACATCGGAGCTAGGTGGGAAAAACCTAATCCTTAAGTATTCATGTTTTTCAGTGTGTTTTTTTGCAGCCGTATCCGGAAACAAATGAGTAAAAATTCGTAGGATGATACTGCACAATAATGAATATTGCAACCTCACCTTTTCCCTTGAAACACATTTCAGAATTCCGGTTAACATTTCATGATATAAGCAAGCTACGGTACTTTTCAGGGCTGGGGAAACGTGTTTGACACGCGAACAGTCCCGCTCTTGAAACGTGCTTGATCTATTTAAAGGTCCTAACTTTGCGTTGACGATTGCTTTGCCTGTGATGTTATGCGCATAGGAGTGTAGTCTGAAATCGATAAGGACTGATACCGTCTGTTGTACTGACTCCTACAGGCCCATGTTGTTCTGCCCTCGAGGGGTTCCGCTCAACCATGCCTGAAGTAGTTTTCCTGTCTTCCGCTGCGTCCTCTCCGTCTCTCTGAGTTAATTCTTCTCTTTCCCCTCTCTCACTGCTCATCGTCCACTTTTAGCGGCGAACTGGTGAGGAGGATGAGGTCTGTCTGTTTCTTCGACGCTGCCGCCTCTACCGCATGGTGGACAAGGTCTGGAAGGAGCGCGGTGTCGGTGAAATGAAGGTCCTCGTGATGCCCAAGTCCGCGGCCCCGGCACAGTACACCAACACTCGTACCGAACTGCCCGCTGATGTGGACGTGGGTGCCATCGACTACGCTCGTCTGCTGATGCGTCGCGATCAGGTTTTGAAGATCTGCGCCAACCACACGATCACTGCCGAAGTTCCCAAATTTAACCCCTTGGCTTCGGCCGCTAATGGCCTCTGCTGGGTGACGGAGGACTACAGTGAGGGTACCGGAGAAATTATGACTCTGGGTATAAAGTTCAAGGTGAGTATTTATTCCCTCGTTTG